TTTGTTACACTGTCATTTACAGACTAGCATCACCGACTTTAATAAAAGAATGCCTTGGGGTTGACAATGAAACTGTATTGTGTCAGTCCAGTTAAATTATTAAATTAAATTTTCCATACCGTGTGAGGGGGACACCATCTTCCACACCCACCCCCTCTCGGGCGCTTACGCGCCCTCGAATTGAATTCACTCACAGAAGTGCGCCCCCCCACTTTCAAAATCGCTCCAAAGCCTATGATATATATATATATATATATATATATATATATATATATATATATATATATATATATATATATATATATATATATATATAAATATATATATATATATATATATATATATATATATATATATATATATATATATACATATATATATATATATATATATATATATATATATATATATATATATATATATATATATATATATACATATGTACATATATATATATAATATATATATATATATATATATATATATATATATATATATATATATATATATATATATATATATATATATATATATATATATATATTACATATATATATATACATATTATATATATAAATATATATATATATATATATATATATATATATATATATATATATATATGTATATATATATATATATATATATATATATATATATATATATATATATATACATATATATATATATATATGTGTGTGTGTGTGTGTGTGTGTGTGTATGTATGTATGTATGTATGTATGTATGTATGTATGTATGTGTGTGTGTGTGTGTGTGTGTGTGTGTGTGTGTGTGTGTGTGTGTGTGTGTGTGTGTGTGTGTGTATTTGTATATACATGTAGATTTATACATGTATATACACATATATACATTTTATCTATCGATCTATATTTACACATATACATGTGAGTATATGTATATGTACACACACACATACACACACACACACACACATATATATATATGGTAGAAAAATCCACAATCCACAAACTAGATTTATTGATAATGCGACTACTGTTTCGAAATCCACCTGGATTCCACCTTCAGGCCTGAAGAGGAAAGGGAGAGGAAGTTGAAATTGGGCTGCAGCTTGACTAAGGAGGATTCCACCAGTGGGGATGTGGTTAAAAGTATGATGGGGCGATCAGATCAAATGGAGAGTATGTGTCTGAAGAAGGGAGAGTGACACTGTATGAGGGAACTGCAAAAGAGCTAATATGGTAACACGCTAAGTAACGTGCTTCTTGTCTGGCCTTATGTAGAGTGAGTCCTAGATTGAATCTGTTACCTCAGATTCGAGATCGTAGGCAGGGCAGGTCCTATGGAATACATTATGAGAGCTACCATAATTGGCATACATCCGTGATTGAGCAGAGCAATTTCAACGGTCATTCACATAGAGGACAGTGGGCTGTGGAGCGAGTGTTTGGCTGGGTAGCAAAAACGCTAACATTCCTGACATTGATGGGGAAGAGGTCGATATGGACAGGGCAGGCCATTCCTCCAATATAAACTTCATGGCGGAGGTCATGTCTGATCAGTCCTTGGCGTAGACAAGACAATCAGTCAGAGAGACGGAAACAGTTCCGGTACAAGTATTAAGGGAGGAGTGAGGTTGGGCTGAAGTATATCAGTCAGGGTAGGCAGTGCACGAGCTTGGGACTTAGATATAACTGTGACAAGGCATGAACAATCAGAACGACTGCGAAAGGAAACTGCCGATTTGTTTTTGAAGACATTGTTAGAAGAGAAAGGTATTGTCAGATTACGGAGCTGTAGGTAAATCACAAAGAATTGATCCCACTTGGCTGGTCCAAAAAGGGTACTAAAAGGTTTTTAGACGTGGAAGCAGGAGGACGGGAGGGTGATAGGGTGGTATGGGGAGTTAGTATCGTTGAGAGGAGGACAATAAAGATTAAGAGTAGTAATAAGGGGGGTGGGGGTAGATAATACAGAAGACTGTGAAGTGGAGGGAGTTGGGAAAAAGGAAGGGGTGTATTCTGAGGGTTGAGTAATGACTTGGGTGGATGATTCGGAATGGATAGAGTTGACTGCAAACATCGAGGAGGGAGTACTGGTATCAGTGGCCGGAGCCGTGGTCAAAGGAGAGTCAAGAGTTGGGAAACCAATGAAATCAAATGTAGAAAGGCTAGTTGGTGAAGGGGCAACCATCAATACCCCTAATAAGGGTAAAAAAATCATTATTAGCCATAGTGAGCCTGAAATAATTGGGGAGAGTCAAAGGGCAACTCCTCCAGGTCTCCATGAGGGGTAGACAATTCACTAAAGAAATAGTGCCCATGGCTCCCGGAGGCCATTCATGACTGACACAAAGCCAGCTTTTCATCATTTTTTCATCACAGCTCTCACACCATAGGAAGTGAGCAGAAGGGGATAATAAAGAAGAGAAGGAAAGAAAAGGGAGAAAAGAAAAGACCATGCAAAATTAGTTGAGGAGAGGGCTGAGGCCCAAAGTAGAAGTGACCTCCTACATTGGGCC